AAACACTCACGCCTGTCACCCAGAGGGGTAGGCAGAGACTACAGACTTCCATTTGGCACGATCCTGACACACCTCTCTTGCCTCCTTCACATCCATACACCTACGCATACATGCTCGTCGGTTAAGGGTACTCCTAATTTGGCCCGTTTTCAATAAATCGCCAATTTGGTCGATAAATTTTCGCCTAGGACGTCCCTTTCCGACTCTGCCATTCACTTCTGCACCATAAATTTTCTTTGTCACTCTTTCCTCATTCATTCTTTCCACATGACCAAACCACCGAAGCATTCCTTTCTTAATCCTGGTCACAACATCATCTTGCAAAGCACACTCTTCTCTTATTACACAATTTCTTACCCTGTCATTCAGATTCAGCCCTAACACCCTTAACGACCGCATTTCTACTGCGTTCATTCTACTCTCGTGCTTCTTCTGCCACACCCAACTTTCACTACCATACGTTAAAGTAGGGACCAATACAGCATTGTGAATTGCCATACGTTACGTTACGTTACGTTACGTTACTTGGTTACATTTATTTTTCAGACCATCTCATAGATTGCCTTAAAATGGAGATATGTGCTGTACATTGTTGTCACGCTTGCGAGACATTGTAGGCACAGTTTTTTTTTAAATATTATAGTCGTTATGCGCTTAGTCGCTGTTTTGTTACCTTCTGCTACCTCTCACAAACCCACGGGACGATATGGGGCAGCTCACTGGTCACATGCTCAATGGTTTATTACATTCGTAGACGTGTATTTGATAACAGTTATCATATATTGGTAATTTCAAAATTTCAAGTTGTATAATATCAATGTTTTCAAGGACCAAAACGCATCGCGAGTATAATTCAGCACTCGCGAACATTGCCGCTTGGAGCAATCATAATGAATATTTTATTTTATCATAGCGGGTTCGTTCTCACCCCCGCAACCCTCATTCTCTCCACTCAGTCTCGTCCCGCGCCCCGCCAGCCATGAACTTGACACCGAGCGAAAAATTAGTTCACAAGGCGAAAGTGAACTTTGTACAGAGTTTGCACTTTTTGAACGAACCTAGACTGAGATAAAAGAAGTTTAAGACGAGAAGCGTGGCCAACTTGCTTCGCACTTCGCGACTTAGCTGCTTAGGCTTGTTCCTTATCTGTATCTGTAAAATATGTTTAGGTTTACTAATTTTTACTTTTATTAACAATGTACATATATGTGTCTTTATACTTCTATAATATTAATAAACCTTTATTTTCCTTGACTTATACTTATAATAATAAAGATCAAATAACGAATAGTTTCTTTTAACTTTAACTTTAGTCATGGCTCCAACTCGGGTAAGTTTACCTCGAACTGTCTCCTTTTTTTCCCTGCCTTGCGCTAGTTCAGTCCAGTTCTCATTTATTGAAAACATTACTTGTTCAACATTATAGATGTGTAAAATGGATTTCATAACTTCTTGTTCAAATATAAAACTCTCCAGCTCGATGGTCGCCGTTACGGAAGACGGGTGATCACGGGATCTCCGTTCGAAAGTATCAAGTTATTCCAGGGATAGTGCAAGTTACCCTCTGCAACATTGCAGTGCTACCACGATGACTTGAGATCGCTATTGTTCTCCTCGAAGTTGTATTACGTTTATAACTAAGTACGATAGTTTTAATTTTTTTTTGCTTTTGACATGTATATTTTTATTAAAATATGTCAGTTACTCTTGTAAAATTTATAGACATAACTTTAGTTAGTAATTTCCTTTTATTTTTTCTTTATGATTTTTTGTAGTTTTGATGGACATCCCTGATGGCCACGCTTTTCCGGCTTGATAGATACTCTCCAAGATATTCTTCAATTGTTTCGATCATCATTAAAATCAGCGTTCTGTTTTCACCACAACCAAAACGAATATAATCACTACATTTTATTCATTAAATCTACGTATTTTTAAGATATAAGTTTGTATATTGTTGTGTGCATTAGTGGTCTGTATCAAAATTAAATTTATGTCTTTCTTTCTTTCCTCCGTTCTTTCTTCACTGCCACGTTAACTACACTGCTTTATTCCGATCTGAAGAGTATAAGAATTAGTATAATTAAAGGCAGTGTAGCACTCCATCTTAGTCCTCAGAGGTCAGGAGGTGTAACTACGCACTAGTAGCCTTCTTTGTTTGTAGTTGGCTGCAGATGTCCATGTTCTAGGATACTCACCCTACCATCACTCTACTTACCTACCACCAGGTGATAGGTGACTAACCGCGTACTGTAAATACAGTTATCACTTCATATTTATAAAAAAAAGGCTTTAGCGATCAACAGATAAATAGAACGTAGACCTCCACTTTACTTTGGGGAGTTTTTTTATTGCCTCATTGGGGGGGGGGGGGGATTTTTGGCATAGTTGCCATGCTTAGCAAGCTGGTGGGCACCGCAGTTTTTTAAGTTATTATAAAGTAAATGCCGCTGCCCAACTTTTGGTTTGTCGACTTTCGCTTCTTAGTACGCACATGCGATATCAGGTAGTGAATATGTGAACTGCTACTTCACGGTCCACGATGGTAAATTCATTATGAAATAGCGAATCTAAATCCCATAGACTAATAATCATTAATAGCATTACCAGTGGGGGGTTTTAGCTTTGCATCTACAAACTCTTTCAACAAGCGTGAGGAGTAAGCTTGTATTTTTATTGTATACTTTTCTACGGCAACATTTGGCACATTTTAAGTTAAACTACTTTTCACTACGTGGTGGAGCTACACTGCAGCTACGTCATGGGTGCAGTATGAATGGGTCGGTTTGGCCGAAGATAGATCACGCTTACACAGAATACCGCTGTAGCAGCAGCTTAACGTTGTTGTGTTTTGTATGGAGAGTGTTGAGAACTGGAGACCATTTTACCAGTAATTAGGCATTAGACATCTTAGACTTCAGAGGTGACTACATGTCTATATTTTGGTTCTTAACCGAGAAAAAATGTATATTTAGGGTCACAGCATCCACTTACTACGAGTACTTATTCGATCACGGCCTCACTTATAATCGTTGGTTATCGCTAATAAAATTAAGTATTAGTTATTATCTTTCTACGTGTTCCTTTCTATTGTAATAGGTATAATGAAGACAGAGAGAACAATTTAAAGCATTTCTTAAATTGACGTCGACTTTCATGACTTAGAGCAAAACGAAGAATGACATTTAATATTGTTTGTTGATTATGCATAATGATATTACTTTAAAAGATTAGTAATCACATAAATAATTTTACCACATGTAAGAGGCTTGCGACGTATTCGTTAATTTTGACCTTTTTTATATAATATAATTAAGGCAATAGCACTAAACTTCAGTACGACGCCGCACCATTTTCCGTTTAACAAATTCGCTGCTAATTAACTCCTCTACAAGCGCTTAAAAGTTACACATAAGCCTTATTCCGCACTAGGGAGAACCCCAACCGAACAGTTCAAAAAGCACCAGAGTGAGGCTACTTGTGAATTAACATACTCCACTCAAAGCTACCAAACTAACCGCATACGAGAGAAAAAAAAATCTTACGTATTTCACTCATTCACTCACTGTATGAGGCTAATTAAAAAAGTACAGAGGTTGGTTTTGCGAGTGGTGTAGTTCTGCTACTCTCCGCTAGGTAGCGTTTTTCGCTTTGACGATTCTTGGAGGTTTTGTCGAGGGATGTTTGTGCGGTTTCATTTTTTAATGAGGTCGTGTATTCGGGTCTCTGCGGCTGGATAGGCCGCTTCGCGCTTTGTGCGGACGATAACCGCCATGAGCCCCAGTTAGGCGTAAGCAACGCAAAGAGAGCGGCGAGGTAGGCGGCACGCCTGTGTGCGTGCATGAAAGAGTTACGTTTAGGTTCACTATTCGTTTATTAATAGCGTACCTGTGATGAAAAGTTATCAGGCATGATGTTTATGCATGTATTCTACACATACATAAGTATAACTTTTGTTAAGAATTTCAGTTTCAGGCGTAACATAAAATACATATACGATAAAAGTGGGAAGTGTATAAATTGATTGCATTTTTTAATTATATATAAATTGCAAATATAATACAAAAACCAATCAATTTTTATAATTCTTTAGAGACACGATGCTATCTCTTATTCGTTTACTTATGTGCCTATCTCTATTCTTAAAAAAAATATTTATATCTTAAACCCCGGACTACAATAAATCCTGCAATAATTTAGATTCTTTCGGATGAACAATTTTTAAATATATGATGTAAATAATTATAAATATTCCGAAAAAAAGTAAAGGTGTAATGAATACTTGCGTCAATTAGTTAATACGACATCTACACGTGAGTAGCTAGTTCAATAATAAGTTTATAGGTGGCGCTACTTGACTTAGGTTTTTTAGTCCTTTTCTTCTGATGCTTTTATAAATAATTTTATTAGTATGCTTTAATTTTTATCATAAATTTAAACTTTACATTTTAGTTATCTAAAAAGTTCTTGTTTCATAATTTGTGCATTTTGCATAGTTAGCAATTTTATGCTAAAATAACATCAATTTCTGTTTCTATCTCTGTAGCAATGTTTATGGGAAGCTTATGTGCAGCTGTGAACTTATGATAATAATTAAGACGATATATTTATAAATGAAACAATATTATGCGTTATATTTTTTTATATTTATGCGAACAGTACACATTAAATGAAACTAATTATACAGATTCATCGTATTTAATTATTAGATACAGTTAAACGTGATAAAATCCGTATAATTAGTTTCATTCAATATTATTCGCTTAAATTTTATAAATACTGAAAGAGGCCTTACTAGGATAATTACAAGTTCAAGATGACAGTGTAAAAAAGAAAGAATTTATTCTAAAAATGAACATCTGTTAAAAGTTCCTGTCAATCACAAAATTCTTTGATTTTCCGATAATATTTACAGTGTAATAACAATTTCTAAATTAAAATGACAAATCTACCGTGTGCGCGAGCGTGATAATATTTAGGATAATTTATTAGTTAGTGCAATGGTGCGGTGGAGGTTGTGCTTGGTACTGGCGTTGCTTTTGCTCCTACCGGCCAGGAGTCGCTCCAAGTTGGAGGATGATGAAGAAGACGAGTGAGTTATATGTTTGAAATGACAAAGCCTGACCTATACGTATATCAATCTATTAGTAACATTAATTTGATAAATAGTTTCTTGTGAATATCGTATCATATCGAAAATGGTCAAAGTATCTATTAGAATGTATTTAAAGAGCATAATAATAAACAATCAGTCTTTATATAACATTAACAGTATTAACGACTGAGCTACCATGGCCCTGCTACTACTCAGATATATATACCCTGACATTCACTGCTCCTGTCTGAAAGCTTAATGAAGCCAGTTTATTTACAGCGTACAAGGCATTCCATAGTTTTTGTATATTCTTCCCACGACTGTCGTTTGATCCGCACCGATATTTCAAATTTTGGTTTTTACTCTCGTTAAGTGTTATTTAAAAAACAATGTTTAAAAAAGTTTTTTTTCCGTAGCTCAGAAAAACTCGGTTGTAGGGGTCCACGGTTTGCAGTAAGCCCTCTCAGTAAATTTCTTAGCGTGTGAGTGGCACGGGGTCGATCCACGCCGGCATCAATGAAATTTTTGATGACAGTTTTTAGTGCTGCGTGCTGGAAACCTGAATGTCTAAGGAATTAACAAAAATCGAGGACGTATTGTCTAGTCCGCCAACGCTATGACTGTCTCACTGTGCCAAGTAGTAGAACTTATATTGGATGTATAACCTATCTTTCTCAGTCAAAAAAGCAGCCCAACCACTAACTACCAGAGTAGAACTATATTTTGAATATAGGTATATTAAGATACACTTTCAAATTATATTATAAAAAATATACACAAACCAGCTGGACAGGCCGACATTGTTCTGCCCATTTCGACGATTTTTGTTGAAAAAAAATATTGAAGTCACTTATCGAGATAAAAACTATCCTATCTCTCAAGTTGGATTAAACTGCATATATATATAATATTTATAAATAAACATAAATTACAGTAAATTTCATTGAAATCAGTTCAGTTTAAGGAATACAACGCGGACAACGTGATATGTAATATTTATATACATATAAAGATGTTGTTAACTATATAAATATATAATATAGCATTACCAGTAAGGGGTAATAATATAGTGTAAGTAAATATTAATTATTAAATGGTTTAAAAATTTAAATCATTAATTACATACCTGCTTAAACGTCGTCATCAGCAACATTGTGAAATTTAACTATTGATAAGTATCTTTTCATAATGTCAGAGTTATTTGCATTATAAAATTTTAGATAACACAAAAAAGATAAAGGAATTTTGATTAAATGATACATTTTCCTGATTTTTTATTTTAGTCGCTAGATGGCGGTAGTCGTTAATCATAGTAAAGATTTGTGGAGACTGTGCAGAAATAATATATTTTTTTAATGCAAGGCGTAATGAAGAAGACGACGACGATGAAGAAGGCGAAGATGATGAGGAAGAAGATATTGACCAAGTGTCTGACCACGGTCCCGGTAGACGAGCACCTGCCATCATGCAGACATCAAAAACTGTGCCTATTACAAGAACCACTCCAAAGCGTTCGCTGGAGTGTTACGTGTGCACTTACAAACCTGATACACCGTTGAAAGCTTGTTTGGATCCTACGAAATATAGGTAGCTTTTACACACGTTTTTTATATAACATTTTCTACTGCTCTATGATGAAGATAATGTAAAAAAGTATGCTACTCGATGATTATTATGGTGTATATTTAATAATAAAAATGTTCTCCAGGCCAAATTTTGTCTGTGCGGTTAGTGTCAGCAGATACTGGCCCATAGCGCAGAACAGGATTTATAGTGCACAAGTGTAGCGCAAACACAATCGCTCACTCAATTCCTTGTAAGTCCAATGGGACGGTAATCAGACTCGGCTGGAGAGCCATCTAGCGCACGACAACCGCTTCACGTGCTCACGGAGGCACGGGGGCAGAAACACCGCCAATTTCCTGACTCCGGGCTGCAAATGAAAATTTATTAACGGAAAACCTAATAACTGATTTTTGATCCGGGATTCGGACCTCGCCAGTCTGGACAGACAAGGTGTATACATACAAACTGCTCCATTGTCATGATGATTAGGTATCGTAACAACGCGGGAGATTTATAGTGCCTTAATGTACGGACTGACATAGGATCCCCATTCGCCCTGCGTTCTTACAGTGTTATGAAATTAAATCAGTCACATTAATAAATAATACACAAAAATAAAAGTTCTATAGTAACCGACATAAACTACATACGGAATTCCGTTTTGGAATTCGGTCATTGATTTTATATGGACCAGCTGCGTTTGGAATCCCGAATCAGGATTCCGAAAAGCAATCCCGAAACGGAATTCCGTATTCATGTGGCGGGCTTTAGTTTTATTTTATCATGCCATCTCTATATATAAAAATCAATTGATCTTGCTGAAAATCGAATACGAACGATTTTGATGCAATATTTTCTGAGCGTTTGAGTGGGTCCCTAGATGGTTTATGTTTAAAAATGGATCCGGTAGGTAGCACCATTGTCGAGATCCAGAAATCACCCATGCGAAGTCCGGTTTAATCGCTAATCTTTAATATTTCTGTTTTCGTAACAGAGTTCATACAATCACATGTCACAGCGTGGACGACAAGTGCTTCACGACGATTATGTCGAAGGGGAACACGTACGAGGCCGTTGTGCGAGGTTGTCGCTCTGGATGTATCGGCACGCCTGATACTACCTGCTGTGAGGTTAGATACGTATTTCCCACTACGTTCATTCATTTATTAAAACCTGTTGAATGTCTTGTGCTGGACACGGGACTTTCCCATAGATTGCCGTATTGGGGGATACTGCCAAAGTTGCCACGTTTGGCAGGTTGATTGGCAACTGAAGTTTTTTTTATAATTTTGAGTTATATAGAAAATGCTGCTGCAAATCTCTTGATTCCCTCTGTTACCTCTTACGACACCCCACAGGATGATGAGGGGTAGAGGATATTCTTACACTGTCAATACACGGTTAGTATAATTATTTATTGATATGCAACATTTATTACAATAAGTATAAAATTTAAATTATTAAACAATCTTACACCCCGACAGTGCGAAGTACGCGATATGATCAATATATTAGCATACTTGCCACGCTTGCCAGGTGACGAGAGGGTTGGTAACCTCTGTTTTTTATTATTTTCAGTTGTCATCAGGAAAGTTCTACTTCCCTTGTCACCATTTACGACACCCACAGCGTTATATGAGGTAGTGAATTATTTTTCGCTGATCCTATACGTCTAATTGCAATTCACAATTTCATTGGTGTCATGGTACTTATACGTCAGGTGTTAACAGGGTGGTTATACCGCCATCTATCGGAAGGCGTCAGATCTTTCTGGGATTTCCATAGTCACCTCTTCCGAATCTCTGAAAGAAATGTGATGGATTATCATATGCTTCAACGACACAACCTGGTTTACAAAGGGTCAAAAGGGCGCTGCTTCTACGACGCGATTTTAACAGTTGACGTTATAGTAAATATTTTAGTCGATTTTTGGTATTGTGCGGTGTAGTTTGTCTTATTTAGGTTGAGTTTTCGAAGTGATCCTTATTATTGCTAAAGCTTGTTTGCAATTTACGACTTTGTGTTTTTGTCTCTATCCTTCTCCTAGTTTTGGTTTTATGGGACGGCAAAGCTGAAGGTGACCATATTACCTTCACGTATCTTAATTGGAATGGTTAGATAGTGTCTTTGAGCTGTATAGTCAACTTACCAACTTATCTGATCTGACGATTCTTTAAATTTTTCTGCAACGAAACAGAATATAGACAAAACAATGACAGAGTAGAGGCGGCGTAAAAAATCACTACCCCATATTTTTCTGCGTTTGTCGTAAGAGACGATAGGGAGGAACTGACTCTGGAGATGGGCAGCAGCATCTTCCTAATATCAGCTTAAAATAATAAAAATATGCTGTTGTCGAGTCTGCCAAGTTTGGCCCGCCTTTGAGTTTTGAGGCAATCTATGGAGAAAACCTATTGAGCGCTGAGCTTTAATAGACTGTAATGATAATGATGAAGAATAGCCATATATATCAAGTACCTACATTTAATCTAATACGTATTATTTTTCCAGCTGAACCGGTGCAACAATCAAGCTCTAGCATTGCCAGTTGCAATTGCACCTCGTGCTAAGAAAGACAAGGCGTCCAAATCTTTTCCGCCCACAGTATTCTTTTTCGTCACTGTTCTCTTGCTGCTTCAAACAGCGGCTAAAGTTGCTTTTATCTAAGATATAACGGGTATTAGTCCAATTTATTACAGTTTTATACCTAATAAGCATATAACCTAAATATATATCGAATTATCATATTGAATATTCGTTGAACCAATATTTGGACATAAAAACTACATTCAAAAAGTATAATGATCTCATGCTGTACATTCTTTTTATTCCATATCACGTATATCACAGATACGCAATAATGAATGGATAAACTTTTGTGGACTTACGTTTTGTAATGTGAGTGATGTCAGGTAGATTTTTTCATCAAATGTTTTTGTATCGCTTTGTTTTGTATTAAAATGTTTACATATTTTGATTTTTTATTTTATTTAATTTATATATTTCAAATAGCTGTTACCTGTTGGTTTCGCTGGGTATACTAATGTATATATAATATGATTTCATAAACATAGTGTAAATTGTTGTTAAAAGTATACTATCCTGTTTTAAATCACAATCAATTTCCATGGTAAGGAACTTCATTTTTCTTCCAACCGTTCAAATGTCATTAAAGGAAAACTTCAAATCAATAAAACATCCAAATTAGTAAAGCATTCATATTTATGATATTAGTGCCTTTGAGATACTAAATTTGTGAAGTATCTTTTATGCGTAGGAGTTGATCAGTGTTAATACCATTCTCTTACATATTTCTGCCAGCAAATGGTCAGTGGTCAAACCAAATAAGACTAAAAAATATAAACCAGTAAGAATTATTTTCCCTAGTTAACTTATATGACTATTGGTCATGAAGAAAGAATGAACGAGGAAAGAATGACAAAGCATTGCAGATGTGAACGGCAGAGTTGGAATGGGACGGCCTAAATGAAGGTTTATCGACCAAATTGGCGATATATTGAAAATGGGCCACATTACACCTTTAAGCGACGAGCGTGTATGCATAGATATATGGATGTAAAGGAGAAGAGAGAGGTGTGTCAGGATCGTGCCAAATGGAAGTCCGTAGTCTCTGCCTACCCCTCTGGGTGACAAGCGTGTGTTTATGTTAAGTTTTTGTAAACTTACTGTTAAGAGCATTACGAAGAAAATTCTCAGTGCTCTTTAAAATAGATGGAACTTTTTAACAGTACCCACTTTAGTAGGATAGTTTTCATTATCATTTTAATGTTTGTTAATATGCACTTCTTAGATATTCTTTTTTTTTTGTTAAATAAGGGTGCCAGACGAGCACATAGTCCAACTGACGATACTTAGATTCTGCAACCCATAGACTTTACTCAAAGAATCAAAATGCAGATGCGTTGTCACCCCTGAGTACTAAGATGGAATGCCTCGTTTCCAGGAAAAATGGTTTCCGGTTCTCTACAGTTGCCATGCAAAACACAGCAGTAGTATTAGGCTGATATTTTACGCTGGTATTCTGTGAGAGCGTGCTCTTTCCCCGTGTCATCAGATGCGAAGTTTGTAATGCCAATACGTCCGTTAGATCGAGTCAACCCATTCGTGCCACATCCACAATATAGCTGCAGCATGGCTGTACCACGTAAGGATAGAAGATGATTGGTGCCGTAACGTAATTAACAAACCAAAATAAGTAGCTTTCTGACTAGTAGGTCTAATCGAAAGAAATTTTATACATTTCTTTATATATTTTTTATGAGTCAAAAATATCCCAATCGGATTTTTCAAACATTTAAAAATTCATAACTTTGAAAATATTAACTTTATCGTGAAAAGTCATAAAACCTTTTTTATTTGTTAAAAAAAAAAAACAAAATTTTTCAGGAAAAAAAAATTTAAATACCGGAAATTTAAAATATGTTGTGAAGAAAAAACCATTTTTATAAGTTCATTAATTACTTAAAAAGAAAAAAAAAATATAAACTTACTAAAAAATTCAAAATGGATGTCCGGCCGAAAAATATTAGGAAACGCTTGAAACGCACCAATCACAATTCCTTGCAATTGAAACTTTTGAAACAAATTGCAATTGAAACAAATTGGTTTAAACAATATGGCACCGAGTTGCCCCATTGCAACACATTTATGTCATCAATAGGACAGTTTGAAGAGAATCTCATAAAAAATTGGGGTGAAATAGTTTGCGGTACTCATGCGCTGATTCCTCCTGGACTATAACCTGAAACAGTTTCTACCTTTTTGATAGATAGGTCCTGTAAAAACGTATGCATTAACCCATGACGGAATTGGTGACTCTAGAGTCGAGTACCTGGTAGAACTAGTTTGTGCTTGTTTCTTGTATTTACAGAATGTACATCACTATTTTTAATAAAACTATTTTTGTTTTTGTGTGGTTAAAGTTAACATATTTGTTTCTATAAATTTTTCTCGGAAGGAATCCATCCGACCTAGGTTATAAACTGCTCTTACGACTCTCTTCAGCGACATATCAGTCGCATTACCCCATAGCAAGATTCCATATGATATGATGTTATGGGATTAACGCCAGAAGTACAATAATTCGGATTGGCGAGATGGAAAGGAGCGTAAAAGGCGCGACACGTGTTTTAAATTATTCGCTATCATTAGAGCCATTGTGATTGAAAATAAACGATTATTAATTATTATTATTAGTTTTTCGATCGATGATGAGCGTGGCGTTCAGGCAAATTGTTTCTATGATTTGTCTGAGCGCCCATTTTCAGCGGTGGACTTCCACTGATTACTGAAAACAAGAAGCAAGCAATAAATGCGTGAAATATTTTTTCTAACAGATATATTAAAACTTATAGTCATAGAGTAGTTAGTATATTAAAATATCGTTAAAGTAAATTTAATGCTTGTTACAAGAAACATAAAGGCGGTTTTGATCTGGTATGAAAATTTTATTGACGATGAATATAATATTATTATTAATAGCACGGGTGTCTCAAGGGGCGAAACAAAGCTTGCTTGCTAGCCTGCGCATAGACACACGTAACTTGGAGATTTTGTGAGGGGGGAGAGAGCGCTAAGAACTCAGTGTCTAATACTTTGCCTTAATATCAATTTTAAGTATTTAATTACTTTGTGCTCAATGAATGCTCTTTAGCCTTAAGCTAAGTTTTAGATCATAATTTCGTTCATAATATTTAGTTAAGGAAAAAAAATACTTTTTTATAGAATAAGGGTGGCGAATAAGCACACAGTCAACCTAATGGTGAGTGGATGCTATGAATAAACATCTACATCTATAAAGAATCAAAATGCAGATGTATTGCTACCCCTTAGGAATAAGATAAAATGCTTCGTTTCCAGTAAAAAGGGTCTCCGGTTTTCTACACTCGTCATACGAAACAGCAGCAGCATTAAGCATTAAGCTAATTTTACGCTGGTATTCTGTGAGAGCGTAGTCCTTCCCCGGTCGAGAAAGCCCATTCGTGCTGTAACTCTAATATAGCTACAGCATGGCTCTACCAGGTACAAAAAAATATCACATCTATTTTCATTATATTACAATTTTAATAATAACATAGATACAAAGATTCCCACGTTTTTGCCCCAAGTTGAATCTTGGGCTTCTAGATAACGTGCGGCAGTTTGTAGAGACAATAGTTCATAGCTGTGCTAGGATCCGGTAGATGGCGCTGAAATCATGTTGCTAATAAATTCATTTATTATATGGACAAAAATGATTTATTCATAGTTTTATGTTTGGTTTTGGTCCCAATAAATAAAATCACAAAATTTAGACCCGATAAGTGGTACTGTAATCGTGTTATTAATTAATTTTATATTTACACGTTCGGACTTATTCGCTATGAAACTCATTGTATCACAACTTACTTCGCTCGCCGTCGCACCTTATGACTTTGCCCTAGACGAATTATACTTAAATGACATTGTTTTCTATTTATGTCAAAAGAAAATCATACTATTCGATCAGTATATCACATTGGTGTTAGAAGTATATTATCAAAAGTTGGTATAGTTTATAAATTTAGTATCACAATATGTACAATAATACTCATACTAGATGGCGCTACATGTACATTTGAAAGGCGCTATGGTTTTACTTTTGTGAAATCAGTAAGAGCATTCTACGATTTTGTCAGAGCATTCCCCGGTCGAGCCGACCTATTCTAAAAGATTTTTGAACGCCCTATTGTGGTTGTATTATTACAACCTATGGGCGATATAACACCAATAATATTGCAGATGTAAGTATATTATATCTACCGAGATGCGTAATGTCGAGGTCTGAGGATTATTTGTAATTTTGAATAGCAATTTTTAAGTCTATACACATACGTATTATGAATATAATTGAAGTGTCTGTCTCTGTCGTATTAGGATAACTGCTTTTATTAGGATGCGGGAGATATTTGAATATTATTAAGATATAAACAACCATTTTTAAAACATTTGTCTGTCCAGGATAATGTTCGAAATGGCTTAATCGATTGTGATGAAACTTTACAAACAGATGGAAAGCATTGCCAGGGGAGGAATTTATATCTTATGCTATATTTTTTTTAAATATTTTATCCGAAAACTTAGATTATTCTTTTAAAAATTAAAATATACAATAAATGGTTTTTAATTTTATTTTAAATCTGAATAACGCCACATTAATAGTTACTATCCGGGCAAAATAGGGGCAGGTAGCTAGTAGACAAGCGTAGTTTTGGGGTACCTCCCACTAGATGGAATGAATGTCGATTGATGCGGGTGGCTCAGGGCCGTAGGTACTTTGTGTTAATTATTATGGGAGTCTATGATCAGCAGTGGACTTGTGAAGGTACTAGCCATAGTAGTAGTAGTTGTAGATGTAATAGATTATGTATCAAATTAAATTATATGAACTGTTTGATAAAACTCACGTCAGTATCATATTTTTATTTTAATGAGCAGTGAGCGGTATTAAAATAAATATACTGGATGATATTTTTACCTAACCTAAAAAAATAGGGTATGAATGGAGTAGAAGTAAAAAGTATTTTACAAGAAATCAAAACAAAAAATTTGAATTAAATAAACGAATAAATTAAAATCTATCGAAATTCAAATCATATCCACCCTACTTTACAAACGGCAATCAAAAA